AAGAACTTGGGATGCACAGCTGCCTTCCTGTTCCCTGTGGTTTCTGCACATCTGGGAGACTATGAAATTGCTGCTGGAGGGTAAGGGGGTATCCTACTGTCATCTACAGCTGTCCCCACACAAAATGTTGGGGCACCGCTAAGCCTTCATCCAGAGATTCTTCTGGGGGTTACCCATTGGTTCTCTTGCTTCCTCCCACCAAATGCTGAAAATACAGTGCTGCCTGCAGACTCACCCATGGCTTTTTTCTCCAAGGCAGGATACCCCCCTTAAGGGCTCTGCTAGCCACTCGGGAAAGTCCTGTAAGGCCTAGGCTCTCTGCCCACCCCCATGGCCCTCTACACACAGAGCACTCTGTGACCAGACACCTCCCGGAAGATGATTAGTTACTGAGCACTGGGGTTGAAAGAGGTCTTGATCCTGTACTGTAGGCATTGATGCCCAATGAAAATATAACAGGAGCTCCATGTATAATTTTAAATGTTCTACGGGGCTGGCAGGAGGAGCAGTGGTTAAGGTGCTGGACTCCCACATGGCTAAATGCGGTTCGAGTCCTGGACCTGGGGGCTTCCTTTCTCACTTTCCCTTTCTCTCTCTCTGTCTCTGGTCAAATTAAAAATAACCGTAACAAATTAAATAATTCTTAATTTTAAATGTTCTAGAAGCCACATTATAAGTAAGAAATGGGCACTTTTAATAATACAGTTTACAGGGGCCAGCAGGTGGTGTAGTGCTTAAGACACTGGGTTCCCATATAGGCAACCACAGTTCAAGTCCCAGACCTGGTAGCTGGAAAATCACACAGAGTGTGTGTACCCCAAATCCCAGGAGAATGAAGCAGGGATTGCGGTGTGGCCATCACCTCCTGGAGGGTGATTTCTCACTTTCTCACTAGCTCTGTCTCTCTCTGGTGAACACATGTACCCTATGGCAAAAATCTAAAGTAATAATAACATTAATATAGTATTCATATGTAAGCCAATATTATCATTTCAATGTGTCATACTGCCCACATTTCACGGGATAACAGCACCCATATCTAGTGGTTATCAGAGTGGGACAGCACAGCTCTTAACTCCAGCAATTTTCCATTTTCGGGAGAGGAAGTGGCCCAAGTATCTGTGGAGAGGGCACCAGGGTGGGAAGGGAAACCCCAAACTCTGTCCCCACAGTTGGCCCACCAGCCTTTCCTTCCGGCCTTCCAGGCCATGGCCTATGAAATAGGTCACTTTATGATAACTCGAATCCAGAGAAACTGCAACATAAACCTATTTGAAAGAGACAACCAGGAGAGGAATAGAAATGGATATATCTGACATCACAAAGGCCAACAGGAAGGAACAGGAAGGATGCCCTGCGAGAGGGCATCTTGAGGATCTCTGTGCCATCCCTAACCGAGGCCACCAGGCTCCTATGTGGTATGAATAGCCACGCTCCAACATTGGGTCTGGTGAATTTTCTGCCACGTCTCCCTGGAAGAACTACCCACAAAAGCTCCTCTCTGCTTTAGAAGGCAAGAACAAGTCGTGCATTTACCCAGTGTAATAGTCTTCTTGCTCCGAGTCGCCATGCCAACACACAGTCATAATTACCGAGGAGCGCGTCAATAGTGGCAGCATTGACAAAGACAGTATATCAGGGCCCGTGAGCTAAGCAAGGTCGGGCTCCTCGAAGCCCTCCAGCTTCCTGCCCACTTCTTTTATGCCACTCTGATCCATCTCTTGCCCCTACCCAGATGGTCTCATTATATTTTCTCTGCAGAGATAGGAACTACAGCTCAGCATATAAGACACTTCCGTGGCACTTGGGAGATAGGTTTTCCTCCGAGTCCCGATTTTAACTTGTGGAAAAAGTCACTTTAACCTCCAGACCTCAGTTATTTTGATGGGGAGAATATTTTGGACCCTGGATATTTGGAAGAAGGTTGCTGGCATTTAATTCTCCCAAATGTAAAGGCTGGTACGTGTCATTTAGTGGCTCTGAGATTGTCTGTATGATCAACCTGAGTGATACTAGCAGCTCAGGAAGCAAAAGAAAGTTCAAAACTGAGAGGGAGCCGGTTGGAATACCCCAAGAACATCAGGGCTTGCGTCTCCCTCCAAAAAGGGCAAACATCTCAGAAAAGGAGCCAGGAACAGCTGAAAGGTGGCCTCTTTTAGATTACCAAAGACGAGTGGGATGGAGAAGAACTATCAAGCTAAATGACGAGCATTCTAGGCCCCCAGTGAGAACCAGGACATGCACCCATTTGAAATGAGAGGTCAGAAAAAAAGGCAGACAGCCATCATTGGAGCCCTACACAAGAGCGCCCCAATTTCAGAACACTCAGTGCACCAACATCTGAACTTACAAAGGAGATAAATTGGAGGCCGATGATTAGCATCACAAAATGATTATTCCCTTTGTAAAAGGCTTCACTGCAGGACTGCTTTAAATAGTGCATTTAAACCATGATCTGATTTGCTAAATTCGATTTATACACATCTACTGCCTAAGCTGGCGTGCGGCTGTATTTACATGTCTTCCCTTGGCACAGAGGAGGGGAGAAGCCAGCCATTATTTGGGGCCTTTAATCCTTGTAGACAGTAACTAATCTGGGGAACTGAACCCTATTTTTCTTCCACAGCTGGGGCTTTAGCTATAAACTGGCCCCAGCTCTCCGCCCTGCTTTGCCCATGGAGACCCTACCCAAAGATGACAGGATTTGGCTAGGATCTGATAGAGCCTTTCTGCCAACAGGGGCTCCCCACCAAGAAGCACACACCTCCCACACCCAGGGCTGACACCTTTCCAGTGCAGATTTCCAGAGAATCTGGTCTGCCACAGGTTCAATGACTACAGCTACAGCGATCATGCCAGGAGTTCAAAGGCTTTCTTTTGGGAGCCATGGACATCTGCTAATCTGAGACGCACTCCACAATTTCTACTTGGACCCAGGGACTCAAACCTGGGCAGGTTCAGAAAGGCTGACTCTCCACCCACAGAGGACAAAAGGATAGATGTGTCAGGTCTCACGGCAACCATGCCAGTGCAGTGGGACCTAGTTCACCTGAAGGATCTTGCAGGGCTTGCTGACAACATGGCCCCCCGAGAGACCCTTTTGTGAATATAGAGCAGTGAGGAGTCAGACCACAGCTAGAGGGGGAGCTCCCATTATCCAGCCTGAACTATTCGCCAAAAAAAGAGAGATCTAGGCAAGTAAGGAGCTCCGGAACTCAACATTCTAGTAACAAATGTCCCCACTCAACACTGAAGTCAGGGCCTCCCCTTCCCCATCACCCCCATCTCCTCAGTGCTAGAGGGTTAGCTTTTTTTATTGATCAAATATTTACAGATACTCACAATGATGGGACCAGCCCAGTACTGGAAATTGGGGGGGGGGGGGTACAACATCTGGGT